GATTGGGTAATGAAAGTATGTAAAACATCCCTGCCGATGAAGCTGCGGGGATTACAGTAACATCACCAGTGTTATTTAGACTACTTGTTACTTGTTGTGGGCCCCCGTTTCCGCACGTAGACTCATAATTGGTCCATTGTGCGTGCAGGGTTGATTGGGCTAGCTAGCTCAGCCAGCCCAGCTCCTTCCAGAAGCGCAGTAGTCTGCTGGGACTCTCAAAGGCTTCTAGGAGCGTCCTCGGCGTCCCAAGGATTGATGCCCGGTGTTCTGCCATACTCATGCACTCCAGGATCACATGAGCGGCCGTTTCATCTGCTTCTAGACATCCTCTGCACAGAGAACTATCTGTAACAAGTATGGTTAGTAAATGCTTATTTAGCAGGCAATGCCCTGTTATAGTGCCCAGCATTACTCGGAGATCAATTCGGTTAAGATTTAGTAGTTTTCTAGTTAGTCTTGGGTTGAGGCTAGGGAAGCTAGCCTTAGATTGCCTGCAGCCCTCGGTGTTGGCCCAGCGGGTGTTAAGGCTCTGTATGGTTTGCTGGCGCACCCATGCACGAATTTGGTTAAAGGGTAACGGCAGGAGCGGCTCAGGGCCTTCCACTATATGTGCTGATCCAGTAAATAGGCTGCGTCATTCCCCATAGAGCCGCTGTGTCCCTTGATCCATTGGAGGATAACCTTGTTCTCTCTTGCTATTCGCTCCAATGTTAGGTTACATTCGTATACTAGCCCAGAAGTTTTGCTGTTACTGTCTAGGGCTCTTAGGACAGCCATACTATCAGATATTATGCGTATCTTATAGTTCGTGACTTTCCTGTTGATGACGGCGGTGGCGGCCTGAGTAATAGCTATACATTCACATTGGAATATTGAGCTGTGAGTACCCAGTGCGGTTGATATATGGATGTTAAGCTCTAGGGAGAATACTCCAGCGCCCGATCCGGATCCTGGTATTTTGGATCCGTCAGTGTATATGCGCATTTCGTCTGTGCCGGACCAGTCCTTGTTGGCTTCCTGTAGTTGTATTTGATATTCCTTACCAAATGTGTGTATAGTCGGGATTTTGTCACAGCGGGCTATTACAAGGGGTTGGTGTTGTATAGCCCTCTCCAAAATCTTGGAATGAGGTCCCTGGTATCCCGTCCATAGGCCCAGATGGTACATTCTTAGCGCTGCCATTGTTGCCTCTTGCTGTATGAACAGATCAAGTGGCAATAGGTTTAGCGCTATTTCTAGGGCGTTTGTCGGTGTGGATTTCATGCAGCCTGTAATTGCTGAACATGCAAGTCTTTGAAAACGCTGCAGTTTGTTTTCAACGGTGGCTAGTTCGGTTCTAGGCCACCAAATTATTGCACCGTAGGTGATGAGTGGTCTGATTATGGTTGTGTAAAGCCATTTTGTGATTTTTGGTGCTAGACCCCAGGTTTTACCGAGTAGTCGTTTGCACTGCCAAAATGTGATGCAGACTTTGTTTATCTTATGGTCTAGGTAACTGTTCCATGTCAACTTATGGTAAAGGATTATGCCTAGATATTTGACCTCGTTAGACAGTGCCAGTTCCCAGTTATTTAGACTTAAACGATGCCGCCGTATTAATTTGGCCTGGGTTGCCTGAAGTGAATACTGTTTTGCTGTTGCTCTTCGCTCTTCCTCTCAGCTTCCAGCTGGCTTCCAAGCACCTGGGGCTTCCAGGAACGGAAGCCCCAGGTGCTTGGAAGATGGAGCATTGATGGCAAAGGGAGACGGACGGGGAACAGTACCATGCCGCTCCCTGTTAAAACAAAACAACGGAAACAGTGAGTTCACCTGGGATTATCAGATTTGCATTCCATAGGTTCTTGGAAGATGGTTTATAAACTCTGGTACATCGCTATCGGAGTAGCCCGGCTGGGGAAAAGCATACGTGTAGATGGCCAGTGTTTTATAAGGCGTCATGACTATGGACCTACAGGCGCAGGAGTATTTTCTTTGTTTTAGGGAGTAAGGGGCCACATCGCACCCCCGGTACTTTTAGCTTATGTTGTTAATTACACAAACAGTAGATATCTTCATACTCTGAGGATAAAATTTAAATAATAAATTAAATTAACAAAAGAAATATTTTCTGACTACGTGTACTTATTTTTATAGCGGTTTACAGTATTTTTGTATAGTTTTATTTATTCTTTATTAGTAAAACGTCTGTTTTTTTTTCTCTTTTTGATTACTACAATATTGATCCTTTGTCTTATGAAATATCAGTTTGTTTTTAAATACTTACCTAAATAAAACGCATTTAGATTTTAATCGTCTTTTTCATTCCATCTGATAGACGTAAAAAATTAAATTGTGCCATGGAGTGGTTATTAAAGTCATGATATATACCTAATTTAGAATGATTATTAAAATGTTCACACGAATCTTTGGAATACAAAAGGCGGTTTAATGTAAAATGAGGTGCGAGATTTTTTGCAAGTCGACTTGTCCATTGATCACAGGAAAATCTATCAAATTAAGTTTTACTTCCACCAGGAGTAGTTTATATAAATTATTATTAGAAGTTATGGTGGTTAGTAAGTAGTAGGTAGTTAGAAAGAATGGCAAATACTTAATGCGTATAACTACCTACCTATAATATAATAATAATAAAATTTTATTTTAATAATTAGTACAAAAATAAAAACTTAAAAGTACAATTTTAGCTTAGCTATAACAAAACATGCGCCTGAACTATGAAATTATGTTGATTGAATGTACCTACATAAACTCAGAAAAAAGTACACTCTTTGGCAGTTGTATAATAAAGATCATGTTAAAGCTTATTCTATTTCTACTGATTTTGATATTGAGAGTTAATAAAGATACTTAGGGCCACTTGTACCAAAGTTCTTATATCAAAGAAAGCCAATCGATATCATGTTTAAGGTCTATCTCTATTTTATTGCAATAAATTATTTAATTTTCACTGATGCAAGAGAGATGTATAAAAGGCCATTTAATATATAAATATTAAATGGCCTTAATTTGATCTAAATTCTAATCAGAATTTTAATAAAATTGCGTGTAATAATAGTGATATATGATAAAGATGAGCAATATATGCTGAAGCTCTTTAAATCATAAATTTTTAATTATTTAAAACACAATTACATGGAACCTAAAAATAACTTTTAATAATTAAGGTAAATTCCTTGACAAACAAAATAGCATCAAAAAGACGTTATGTGCAGATACTAATACGATTTGGTCAGGAGATTGCTCGTATGTGCGAGTGTATTAATTACTCTTAGTATAGTAAATTGCATGTAGTACGCATTAATCAAAGCAAACTTGTCAGAGCATTTGAGTACGATGCCATGAGTATCTCTCATCTCATCCACTACTGCCTTAAATAATGTCACACTGCCATTAGGCATATTTGGTTTTAAACTTTTGACCACACCGAGAGAAACGAAGAGCTTTTCTGTGTTTGAAGTAGATCCACGTTCAGGTTATACTCCATGATTGAAGCGGTTCGGACTTGATTAGCTCGTATTGTATGAACCTATTACCTACGAAGTATTGTTTGAACTTTTTAACGTTGACGAAGGTGCTCTCTTTTCTGAGAAATATATAAATGTTCTTCATAAAAATTATAAATGATGACTATTTGGATGCAACATTGCAGAAATGGTATTCAATGTTGTATTTTTACTGTATGATACGGTATTCTTATGTTTAGTTTGACTATTCAGTTATCTTAATTGAGCGAGATAGTTTAATATTCATTACGATTTATTTGTGAGTCGTCTCCTGTATTAACTTTATTTTTGTAATTGTTTGCAGTGTCCTAAAGATAAATGTGCGCCGGATATAATTCATCATAAACGATTTTCCCGACCTCTCCTCATGAAAAGACAAGCAAACGAATGCTGATTCACCTTGCTGAGAAGGATATCTTATTCTCAACAATATCTTGAGCTTTCTTCTACAATTACTGATAGTACTGACGCCATCTTTCAAGTACTAGATCTTTATCAACTAGTGGTCTCGCTTTCTCGACCTAGTCCATTCCTGGGCTTTACAAACATATCTTTATTATGCCAATAATTTAAGGACCGTTCTATCTCCAGATATAGGAATGAATGAATGAATGGTTTATTTATTTTTCTCTCACAAAGTTACAAAGTAACATTATAATTAGAAAAGGGTATTGAATTACAATAACGGTATAACAATGCAGTTCTTTGAGAGAGCTGGAGATTGTACTAGGTTACAAAACCTGTGTTACGACCCCCAGGCTCAAAACCTCTTAAAACCCGTTTGCTTGCTAATAGGAAGTTGATTGAGACATTTTTATCTCGCTTGTATAGTCTTTGCACTCAGCTATAGAGTTTGCGGTAAGCATTGTTTTAGGTCAAAAACACAGCCCAACCCGTTTTTTTGAGGCGTATTCCTTCCTTTGTGGCAGAAAACGTTTCATCGCTCATTCATTCGGATTTAATTTGTAGGTCCTTGCGAGTATCCTGTACTAACTGTTTTGCTGTCTCAATGGCCAGAGACTCCAGTTTTTTTTATGAAGTGTTTGCTGATTCGAAGGGGGTCTATTTCAAGGTAACTCAGACATGGATCCACCAACCTTCTATATATTTACTGCATTTATGCAGGAAAATCTCTCTCTCTAAGATTTTGCCTATGGAAAAGCTAGAAAATCAAAATTTTTCTTTATATCCTTGGCCTTTTTTCGCATGGTTATGAATTACAGTTAAGGGGCGAAACAGAAATCTCAGGGCGCTGCCTGGTAGTTCTAAAACCGGCCCTGCTTACAAGATAATGTGTGTGACATGAGTAAGGGATAAAAAAAATATATGGAAATGTAAACTTTATTATTAAATGATGTAAAACAATCATACAATAAAATTGAAACTTGGATATGGTAGGTTGAATGCATGAAAATGATTTAGACATTAAACTTCGGTTTATTAAAACAAACGGTAATAAAACTTATAAAATATTTATTTATTACAAAATAGCCACGATTTTCTAAGTTCAGCTAGTCAAATAATATCTAGGCTTAAACGATTCTTAATTATTCAGAAATACATTCAAGACCATGTGGATACATTTGTACTACAGCGATAGGCTGTATCCACGGAAGTGGTCGTGACTGTACTTTTGGTTTACATTTCATTTTAATTAAATCTTTTTATACATGGTTATTGAAAATTATGAATGTTTAACTTGGTATGTCATTTTTCATGTATTCGAGGCCTTTTTCGTCAACAGCAGCATTTACATTCAAGAGGGTGTTAGTGCCTCCTGCCTCCTTTTTTACTCCGTTTATGTTGGATGATGAACTGAAACTAGATGTGGTGACACCGACGAAATTTTCATTTTCACCGGGAATGTAGCTCCTCAGGTTGATTGAGGGCATTGGTGGTACAGGCGGCACTTTTGGTACTGGAGGTACTGGAGGTACTGGAGGCACTGGCGGTACGGGTGGCACTGGTGGTACAGAATAGTAATCTGATGGCATGGCTGGCATGGCTGGCATGGGAGGCATCGGTGGCATCGGTGGCATTGGCGGCATCGATGGCATCGGCGGATTTTGTGGCATCTGTTAAAAAAAAAAACAAATTGAAGTTATTTAATTATTTCGTTCTTTCTAAAATCGGTACCTATGTGGAACGTGAGAATGAGGTATCCAAAGACTTATTGTAGTTAAGGAATATGTAATGTCGAATTTTGAGGTTTCCTCGGTAGATACAATTTAAGGGTATCCATTCCAAAGTATTCCCATGTGATCATGGTAAGATCTTGAAGGGCTAGAATATTAACTGTGACGTTCATGCAAATGTTGGACACTCATGATGGTGGCAAGTGAGCTTTTATTTCTTGCTCATTCCACAATGCAAGTTATCAAATTTGGTCTGCAAATTGTTATGCCAATTGGCAAGTTGCTTTGTAAAATCTGTCATAACAAATATTACAGTTCGAAGTTAGGCTTGTGACATGGTGTTGATACAGTAAAATAATGCTTCAGTCTGAATTCCCCCAAACACTCCTTTATAAAAAAATAAAAAAAAATGAAGAAGTAATATATAAGAAGAAGAAGTAATACCTATTAGCTCCTGATGAATAACAATAATTTTGTTATTAAAAAAATACATTTAACGAATATTATTGAAATAAGTACCCATTCTTCATGGGATCCTTTGTTACTTAAGTATTATTTGTGATTCTGATGTAAACTAATTGAACAGATTTTTTATTTGACAAATCCACATGAAAAACAAGAAGTAAGTTTCCTTTTTACTGATACATTTTATTAGTTTACAAAATACAAAATGGTAAAATAATGCGTGCTGACAAATATTGAAGTGCAAATGTTTAAAATGTTTGTGCAAAGATAATGTAAGGTCTTAAAAATAAACCTTTATATGTGCAACTAACTGAAGAAAATGAAGGGTTAGAAGGCTTAGTTATCACCCCTTTGAAGCTATGTTCGTCTTTGCATGTATTCATTACCTGTATTTAAATTATGGATTCCGGAATTCTCCGTTTCACATTACTGTATGCATGTAGGTGTAGTGTTACTAATTAAGTGTTTACAATTACTAATAATAACTATAAAATATGTTATGGTTTTCTTCGTTTCTTCGCTATTTTCTTACCAATGGTACTCTGAAAAAAAAATGAACGATGTGATTATCAGAAGTGTTGATCCTTTTCGCAGGTAATGATTTTTAAATGATTTTTCTAATACACTTATTCACTTACATTATTGGATCATCAATCTTTGGCGGGTTTTTTCCGACTGAAAGATAATATACACAATTTTAATTATTATTCGAAAAGTTTAATAATAAGCAATGAATTTGAACGAATAAAAAGAAAAAGCTGGTAGAATAATCGCACCCATGTTTATTAGCTTTCTAGCTCTTCCGTACTTCGGAAGGCACGTAAAGCCGTTTGGTCCCGCTCCATGTTTCTGATAGGCATTCGAATAAATCCTATCGTGTAGTTGTGGTAAAGAAGGTTCAGTGAATAAAAGATTCATCCAACTGCAGTCGTTAGCACCCGGCGATTCGCACTGGGCTGACTTTCAAGATCAGGGCATGTTTTCCTTTTTGCGTCCATAGGGAAGGTGGAAGGCCTTTGAATTATATTGTTTTAAACTTTTATGGACACTAACATTATAGCTATTAACGGGATTGTTACCATGTACCTTGTTTTTATGAGTCTCCGATATTTCAGCACTGTTGCAAGCGCCATGATCACGGAGTACTGAAGTAATTGCTGGTAGATGTTATTGGCAGACATATCGGTCTACCCTCTGGCTTCGTCTTTTACTGCACTTGATAGAAAATAAGGCACACGGTAACAAACCCGTTAACAGCTATAAGCCCTTTGAGAACCTGAAATTCAGATAATACTTACTCTGTTGCTCGTGTACTTGTCCGTTTTCATTCACTAAAATGGAAGTGCCACCTGCCGGCACCAGCTTTCCGTCTTTGTCTCTAACCAAGGAACTGCTCGACCGTACCGCCACTCCGTTGTAGATCTGATTCGGTCCAGGCTTCGTGTTTTTCATCTCATCGACGGTTGGAATTCGAGGGAAAGGAACATGCGAGAAGACAAAATCAAACGGAAACCCTGGGCCGAACATCGGTCGAGGCGGACTTATCGGAGGCATCTGAAAATTTATTATTCTGAGTGTGTCTGTGTAAGTAAGTACCTAAAGGCAGTCGTAGGTGCTAGCGTAACCGTCTTAGATACGCTACTTTTATTTACAAGGGACTTCTTTTATAAAAATAAAGTATTAGGTAATTCAAACAAGATCTAAAACGAATACGTGCGCTCGTAACTGTACAAAGACGAACATATGCCTTATCATTTCTTTAATATAATATAGAAGAGTTTTCGATTGTTTGTAATGTATATAATATATGATAATTATATATTGATTCGTGTATGCAACTTTCCATCCAATACTTACACTGAAGCCTGGGAATCTGTAAAAATATAATAAAAACGTTAAATATTTTTAAGTAGGGATTAGTAAACAATGGTATTACTTATTAAAAAGTATTGTAGTTGCAAACAAAAAAAAATGCTTGAAATACATTTGTAAAAATAGTAACTAGTTGCATTCCACCAAATTAATCGTACAATACAATTTTGTGCAGTGCTGAGCTGTGTTCGTTCTATACTCAAGACTCAAGAGCAATAAAAATAGTCAGTTGAATGTAATTAAGTATCGAACAGTGTTTTTTAATTTGAATTGAAATTACTTATTGTATTTGAATACTATGGTATCCTAAATTATATATCTACTTTAATCGATTTGAACAAGAATGAGAGAAAAATTCGAGAAATTTTGTAATTAATAAGAAACCAAGGCGGATGTTGAAATTATAGTGCCTAGTATTCATTGCTACTGAGTGTATTTCTATGTGTAATTAATTATTTCAATACCAGACACAGACTTAACCAGCACTCATGGTGCTACCGAAAATGGGATATATGAAGGAGAAAGAAAAAGAATCCTTCTAACATTTGGCTTCGTACAGTTGAATTTATCTTCATAAATATTATTGCTACTTACCCTGCACCACTAAACGCTGCTGCTCCGCCATCATTTACCCAAACGTAGCCAGCTGTCAACAAAAATAAATGTACAATAAGGCAATAGGAATACAAGAGAGGAAGGGCATAGCGGGTTTACCGTTCGAATTGGAGCGCCCATCTGGGGAAATAAACTCCGCCATACAGTAAAATAACAATACTTTTTGGTGGTTTTGTGTCACTGTCGATGAGTAAGGTTCCAGGTCTCCACGGGGTAGGGGATTGGGTCAGGGTAGGCGCAATGGTGCAAGTCATATTTTTGGTGTCGCAAAGTGGCTATAGGCTATGGTAGCCGCTTACAATCAGGCAAGCCTATGTTTTTTTACCACCTTTTACATAAAAAAGGGATTATGAAAGGGTAAATTGATGACCTCCGTGGGCGAGTGGTTTCTACGCCGGGTTTCGTGGCGTCGCCGACTCGAGAGGTCCCGAGTTCGAATCCTGGTGGGGACAGATGTTTGTGTGATGAACACGAGCATTTGTACTCCAGTCATGGATGTTTAATATGTATTTCTATATAAATATACTTATATATGTAAAGTTTAAGTATTCTATCCGTTACCCTAGTATCCCATAACACAAGCCTTATAGTGCCTACTTTGGGGCTAGGCTAATTGGTGTGAATGTTGGTAATATTTATTTATTATTATTATTAATACTACTGACGCACTAAGTCAGTTAAATAATCAAAAACCGCCAGTGCGAGTCGGAGTTGCGCACGCAGAGTTCCGTACCATTATACTATCTACTTATAACTATGACCAATGTCTGTCACAATTGATTTGCTTGGAATCTACTGGGCTGATCAAAATCAAAATTCGGTATAATAAAAAATTAGGATGAGAGTATCAATGACGTAATCGTCGTCGTCTATCGTTATCTATCTACCCATCAACCACTACAAGAGCGGCCAATTTGTAGGTGAACTTCTTCCCAAAGTTTGTTTTTCGCATTATTGTCACTATACTGACGCATAGTAGTGTCGTTTAGCAAAAGCCAGTTAATGTAACATTACGTACGTACATGTATGTTTGTGACCCAAATAAAAACTAATAAAGTAATTAAATAAACTAGGAATATGAGGTCTATTTTTTGGGGATGTGAATTAAAAACTTGAAAAATCAAAAAGCTGTGTACCATCTTACTATATCACACGAAAGAGTTATTCAGCTCTTTCATAAGTTCTGTGAAGGTTTAAAACATATTTTTTTTTACAAATATAAAAATAGTTTGGAAATTCCAAATTTTGGAGGATTCGAAAGAGCTTTTATTACGACCACGGCAATAATCTCTAGCTAATTAAATATAAGCTTATTCTAATTAAGTCTTCTAGTAAGAGTTGTTGTCTTGAAGGAATTTCCTAAAGTCCCGCCCCCATCACTTTCACCCACTCAGCCAGTCCGAGACTGGTGCATTGGCTGTTCGAGATGAGAAATACCCTATCTATTTAAAAACCAACACGTACAAACATAAAGTTTTACAACAAAATAATAATAATAAATAAATATTTCCAACACTCACACCAATTAACCTAGCCCCAAAGTAAACACTATAGGCTTGTGTTACGAGATACTAGGGTAACGGATAGCATACATATCCAGTACCTATATAAGTATATTTATTTATATAGAAATACATATTAAACATCCATGACTGGAGTACAAATGCTCGTATTCATCACACAAACATCTGCCCCCACCGGGATTCGAACCCGTGACCTCTCGAGTCGGCGACACCATGATACCAGGCGTACAAACCATTACAAAAGTAAATAAGTAAAGTACTCCTTTGTCTACAGGAACTTCTGTTTAACCTATCGTTCACTATAATCTACACTTCAGTATCTACGTGACTTTTTTGCAGTAATTATTCAATTACAGAAGAGTAATATAAAATAATACACTTGAAATTGTCTGGTTTTAGATAGCTGCAGTAATTGTTGCTTAACTTTATCTATTACGCTATTAGAATTTTTTTATAGGGACGTATGAAAAAAAAAATTTAAAGCACGTGTGGGATTCGCGGTCTGAGGGTGCCGCACAATATTGTAGGTATATAAATAGTGCATTCATCACGGAATCGAGGTTCGAAGATTGTTCCCATTCTTGTCCTTTTTTATTTTATCCCAAGACTATCCCATTTTCAACTCATCCCTAAACTATTGCTACATGGTAGTCATCATCACCGTTATTTGTTTCTTTTTTTTTTCAACGCTCACACCAATTAGCCTAGCCCCAAAGTGAGCACTGTAAGGCTTGTGTTATGGGATACTAGGGTAACGGATAGAATACATATACTGTACATAAAAAAATATAAAAGTATATTTATTTAGAAATACATATTAAACATCCATGACTGGCGTACAAATGTCCGTATTCATCACACAAACATCTGCCCCTACCGGGATTCGAACCCGGGACCTCTCGAGTAGGCGACACCATGAAACCCGGAGTACAAACCATTCGGCCACGGAGGTCGTTAACAACCTCCACATCAGCCTAATAATGTCCCGACTGCTGGGGCATTGATATTGTTTTAGCTTAATACCTCCATACGTTTTTCAGAAAAGCCGGCTATTACAGTTAATGAGATGGTGTTAGACCTGTTGATAGTCAGACAGACGGATAATGGAGTCTTAGTAGGGTCTCGTTTTTACCCTTTTGGTCAAGAACCCAAAAAAGGATCTTGACTGACGGACAGACAGGATTCAGTTATTTTTCTTTTTGAGTCACGGAACCTGTTGATTACTTTATTTACAGAATATATTTAAATAACGCACGTAGGTAATAATGTAACAATTTCTTATCAGAAAACATGAGGTACGCGTAGCAATAACCAGCTAAGTAACTACTATAACTTATTGTTCGTAGAAAGAATTGTAATGAAACTTTTAATTACAAAATGTCATTGGAAGGACTTTACTGTTGTAACAATAAACATAGTTATGATTCTTCAAATGGAATAATACCTACGCGCTATTGAATACTTTTTTAATGAGTTGAAAGTCGTGACCCAGCTTTTAACCGAGTAAAAATTTGCCTGAAATTGACCTGAAAAATCGCATTTTCCTATATAAATTTGTACGAAGGAAAATTTTGTGACCAAATCGATCCACACCTAGTATTTTTTATTTTAGGGTTCCGTGCTCAAAGTTTGACAAACAGAACCCTATTAATAAGTATACCTCCACCGCCTGTCTGTCATAGCTCACTATCTTTTTAACGGATGAAGGAAGGAGGAAATTTCCACAGAACGCGTGTATATGTGACAAAAAAAGGTATACACATTCAACGTGATTTACGTGACATGAATAGTATAATTTATTTTAAAATATTGTAATATGGAAGGAATCCTTTAGTTTTGCGGGTTCCTCTCGCACTTGGCAGTTTTATTACATAAAACTAAAGCCAATTAAAGGCACCTTGCATTAAGATACTTTATTAAAATTAAGGCTTGTTTAATATGGCATTCCATCTTCGTCAATTATTATAGTCTTTGACTTTATCAAAGAAAGATAGAATGAGGTTGTTCATTAAAGAACTTTGGTGCAAGAGGGCCTGAGGACAACTGTTTTTAGGATTCTGTACCTCGAAAGGAAAATACGGAACCCTTATAAGATCTCTTTGTTGTCCGTCCGTCCATCCATCACTCAAGACCCTTTTATTCAGGAATGCATGAAGGTATCAAGCTGAAATTTATATCAAATACTCAAGTCTTCTGTTCCTTGGAGCTGTGAAAAAAATCAAACTTCTAAGCCAACGCAATCAAAAGATACAGCCGTTAAAGCCGCAATTTCCCAAATTTTCGAAACTCGCAAGGATATAAAAACCTACAGGGAACTTCCCGTCAACTCAGAATCTTGAAATTTGGTACGAAGCAACGTCTTATAGCACAGATAAAGAAACTTTTAGTTACATCACATATATATATTTTTTAATAATATAATTATTATATACCTACAGATTTGTACGAAACCCCCGGTGCGCGAGGCCGACTCGCACTTGGCCGGATTTATATTTATGCAGACAAACGAACTGGCAGTCCATCTGATCGTAATTTGACGACCTCCGTGGCCGAATAGTTTGTACGCCGGGTTTCATGGTGTCGCCGACTCGAGAGGTCCCGGGTTCGAATCCCAGCAGGGGCATATTTTTGTGTGATGAATACGAGCATTTGTACTCTAGTCATGGATGTTTAATATGTATTTCTATGTAAGTATTCTTATATATGTACTGTATATGTATTCTATCCGTTGCCCTAGTATCCCATAACACAAACCTTACAGTGCTTACTTTTGGGCTAGGCTAATTGGTGTGAGTGTTGGAAATGTTTATTTATTTAATTGGTCACTGCTGCGCACATAGACACTTGCAGCAACAAGGGTACACTCCTGCGTTGCTGGCTCAGAGGTTCCTCGCGAAGAATCAGGTTTTCTCGCCTTTTGAAGACCATATATCGTAACAGAAGGTTAACCGCTGAGAGAGTTCATTTCAGATCTTATGGGAGGTACGTAAGAAAAAGGAACATTGTTATTTTTGAAAATTTTCTGATAATTTAACAAATATCCGTGTCATTCTGTCAAGACGCGCTAGGAACTTCTTCTAGTGTTGATGAATGTACTTGGAGTACCTTACATGTTGTTTCATCACTGTGTATTTTAAATATGTTTTTATTGCATGATGGTTTTAGGCTGAATTGCATTGTTATAATAACATGTTCTCTCAAAAACGTAAACGAAAAGTAACAAACATACAAACACACAAACTTTAAGATTTATAGTATTAGTAGGACTTAAGAAAATTACATATATCAATACATTTTTGGACGTGGCTTGATACGCTACCGCTTTTCTAGATTTGAAATTCAGATAAAACAAAAACCTAATTTAGTACAAATGCAGTAAATGGTAATGAAGTAAAAAATATATCGGATACCTATTTAAATAACAATTTCATTAACATTAGTATTTAATAAACAAATGAAAAAATTAAATACTCACCATTGACGCCGGCTAAAATACAGACAAATAGTATTGTCGTGAGCGCCATTATGGCGGAATAATTAAAACAGTGATAAACTTTGTAGCTGCAAACACTTTACTGGGGCAGTTGAAATCACACTGGAGAGCCATGCAACAAATACTTACTTATGTATCAGTCGTGTTTTGTTCACGAAACAAGCTGAACAAACACTGGAGCGAATGAATGTCGCGCTTTTCGGCGAAGTTTACTGTGAATATTCATTGCAGAACACGGGTGTAACAATAAAAAGAAACATGTTGACAATAGTACACGTATGATAACACAATTATTGAATACATTGTTCAAGTCTTGACAGTTGCTAGAAAAGACTGGAACACGATGAGAAATATGAAGCGCCCATATCCGCTATCGGAGAAGGCGGAGTCTAATCTCGACTACTTTGTATGTATGGAAGGATTCACTAAACCAGTCTTTAAATTACCAAGAATTAGTGTGACCTTTGCTCTAGTAAAGACTTGATTTGACTCCGCCTTCTACGATAGCGGATATGGGCGCTTCATATTTCTCATTGTGTTCCAGTCTTTTCTAGCAACTGTCAAGACTTGAGCCCTTACCCTTCTAAATCATTCATTCATTCCGATTCAACATGCAGGTTTGGTTTCCAAATCATTCGCCGTTACAGTTTCACGTATTTGGAATGGCTCTGCTTTTGAATTTTTGTGAAATGGCTCTGCTTGTCTATACAAAGATGAACTCGAACGCAAAGTCGGATTTTCGAATTTGTCGAATTAGAGTACTGCCTAAGACTACCCATAGTCCCGATTTTTTTAACAAAACGAAGTAATGTAGGAAGATTATTTTTATCCTCGAACAAAACTGGAAAAAGAAAAATCTTAATACATTACCCGGTTTTGTGCGAAGAATATTTTTTCATTGGCGACCTCCGTGGCCGAGTGGTTTGTAAGCCGGGTATCAAGGTGTCGCCTACTCGAGAGGTCCCGGGTTCGAATCCCGGTGGGGGCAGATGTTTGTGATGAATCCGAGCATTTGCACTCCAGTCGTGGATGTTTAATATGTATTTCTATATAAATATACTTATATATGTACTGTATATGTATTCTATCCGTTACCCTAGTATCCCATAACATAAGCCTTTCAGTGCTTACTTTGGGGCTAGGCTAATTGGTGTGATTTTTGGAAATATTTATTATTATTTATTGTACATTGGTGGTAATGTAACTCAGTGTACGAATACCTTCTAATCCGTCAAATTACAAATCTATTTGAATTAATTTTTATGTACTATTAGCCAATTTGATGCCTGGCTCAACATAAACTTATTTTCTGACAACTATTGCCTAAACCAATAACCTTCCTTGGTAGTCTTTCCCTTAAGTGTACGTTTCCCTGGAAACAAAGTTGTTATTTTTTGGACAAACATATTTGACGTGATATATTTTGCCGGCTCCCGGTGACATAATGTTGACGTTACATTACTTTGAAATTTTGCCCATAGACTAAGAATTTTCTTAATACATATTAACGAAATTCTTAGCTTATGGTATGTATTTTAGTAACATTACTAAAATTTTCTTTAATGTCACAAAGTCTTAAGATTTCCTGTTAGTTTAACGATTTTATTTATATTTAAGTGATTTCGAAATTTAAACTACTGTTCCAATTTTGTCTATAACAAAGTCTATTGCAGTAAAAACAAAAATCTTTAATCCATATTAATTTTCTATAAAATAAAACTGGTCTGCTTTGACGTTTTTCGCGAATCATTGGGCAAATTGGTCAGGAATCAATTATATTCAATAGTACAATCAAAAGTCGGATTACAAGGGGCGCCGATTAGACCGGGTCCTCATTACCGCGTATTTGAATCGGATGTGTATATTGTATATATTTGTAATAGGTATTATTTTACTTAACGTTTGTTTAATAGCATTGTAAACCATATTCAATAGAAAACTAAGTATGACAGAGAAAAAAAAAGAATAATTCTGCTTAAATCATTATATAGTCTGGGTAGACTATATAATGATTAGTAAAATAATACCTATTACAAATATATACAATATACACATCCGATTGAAATACGTATATAGGGTTATACACCCCGGAAAACTTCTTGAGCAACGACCGTCTACTTTTGTCTGTGGTTTTGCTAAAGAATTTTGCCGCTACCTATGCCTTTATACATGAATTATTTTCATTTATTCCTGCATGTGAAATGTTGTGGAATAGGTTTTATTTTAACCCAAATCGAGCGATCATCCATTCACTAAGCATAGCGTTTTTATACGTAAGCCAAAATTATCTTTATAGATTTATCTTATCACTGACGGACGTCAATAAAGTGTCTACTGTGATAATGGACTTAATTGAATGTAAATTCAAAACTTCCGGTGAAAACGAAACATTTAAATAGACTAGGCGCAAGCCCACGACTTGGCCCGTGTTAAGTCGGATTTACCAAGAAATTATCATTTTTCCGGGATAAAAAGTATAATTTATAAAAAGTCTCATGCAATCGGAGCGTATAAGCATAAACATAACTTTACAGTACGATCAAAACAAAACTATATATTTTGTTCTCGGTCAGGAAGTTTAAGTATTTCTATGAATTAAACGTACTAAAGCAAAGCATAAGAGTGGTATGAAGTAAAATCTATTTAAGAGGAAATAAACTGCTGTTTTGGTACTTACACGATCGTTTGCTAGACTACTGTGGCCAAAATGTAATTAAAACTTATACATTATGTAGAGTGTAAAAACTTACTCCAACATTATAGATAATGTAAAAAAAAACTGATTCGATAGGTATATTAAGACACTCACACTAATTGATTTCGCGAAGTTTTATTCGTATTGTTACAAACGCTCTCGAAACAAAACCGCGAAAATGCTGGAGACAGATTTTACCAGAACACCGTGGATCTCTCATTCTAATATGAGCTTTATGCGGTGCGGCGTAAGGGAGAAAGTGCAATGACATCTGCACTAGTTTACAACTTATGCGCGTTACCTACGTAGGTATAAAAAGGTATGAACGCCCTCGCGGGTGCTAGTTAACTCTTAATTTAACCGGAGTTTTCTTGAATCCGTCGATTGGCGTTTAAAGGCCAGCGCCAAGCGTGATCGGCGCCATTCAGAGACAGTTGAGTTTCAACAGCGATTTCGGAACGAATACAAAGGCGATCAAATTGCAAATAAAGGATTCAAGTGCGATTCTTTAAAGACTTGTAAAGTTTAGTTCAGTGATTAACATTGTGTGTTGACTGTGTGCTGAATAAAGAACTGTCAAGCGTGAACTGGCATATTATTTCGAACCCCATCCCGACCCGTAACAGTATTTTAATAGTTCCTAATTCAGTCATATGTTAAACGCCCCTTTTGCGTGCGATATGTACTAATGATGTTTCTGGAGTAATGACGGAAAAAGCGTTTGATTTAGCAACTTGTAAAGACCGAAAATAAGGTTTATTTAAGTAAACGAAACCCATTAATAACTGAAATAAAACCATTTACCATCAGAAAAATTATATATTAAGCAGCAATACAGCAAACAATAATTTTAATCGCAGATAAACCTGCAAACCAACCAAAAACTACACTTCTTGCCTTCATTGAGTTGTGTCGCACTGATGATTTTGCAAAACCCCTTTTATATTACCCAGTATCAGCGTATTATGTTTGAACTAATTCACGATTCCAAAGGAGGAAACGTGGAGCGAACGTAGATGGATGACCTGGCATTAAAAAAAAACATGCTCTGGGCAGAGTGTATAAAATACTTCCTAATAATACGGAAATGTTTTCATCTTCGAATGCTACACTATAAAATTCGAGATTCAAATAACGTGATTTGAAGCGTTAAAAACAGTAAATAATTTAGTACACCCTACTTATCAGTCTTCTTGCAATGCTTTAGGCTTGCTTGAAAACGATGACAGCTGGCTGCATTTTGAGTGAGGCAGCATTGTGTCAATAACCACATATAATACGCCAGCTTTTACTATCATGTTTGTGTTTTGCCAAGTGTCTGATCCATTAAGTCTATGGGATGCATTTAAATAATATATTTCAAAAGATTTTAAACGACAAATCTAAATACATGTATAAGGTGACATAGACCATTTAACAGATAAAGTGTTTAACAAATGTCTGATAGAAATTGAAGAAGCCTCTTTAAGTTTAGGCGAGCTTTCCCTAAAAGAGTATGGCTTACCACAACCAAGCAGGTCTATAGCATTAGACAATAGAGAATTGATTAAAGAAACTAGCTATGATGTCATAGCTTGAGAGGGGTTAGTCAGGAATAACTATGATTTATTAACAGAAGAACAAAAGTCAGCATTTGAACAAATAATCAGAAGTGCGAATGCATGTGAGGGCCAAATTTCCTTTTTAGATGCTCCAGGAGGAACTGGCAAAACCTACCCATTAAATTTGATTTTGGGAAAAATAAGGGTCCTACGTGATATTGCATTAGCTGTAGCTTCTTCAGAAATTGCCGCAACACTTTTGCAAGGGGGTCGGACAGCACACTCTGCCTTGAAGGTGCCTTTGAACCTAACACATGTGGAAACTTAATTAAGTAATATTTCAAATCAAAGAAAATTTTCAGAAGTATTGTGAAAAACTAAAAGTGTATAGAAGGTTTCAATAGGACTCTGCAAGACATATGCAGCAGCAAAAGTTGGATGGGTGGTTTGACTGTATTGCTGGCAGGAAAAATTTCCTCAAACTCTACCAGTAATTTTAAGAGGAATATACGTCGATGAGGTAAAAGCGTGTTTTAAAAGATCATCATTGTGGCCCTCAGTAAAAAATGGTTGCCTGTAAAGTCGGTTTTACGGGCGAAGATTTTACGTGACAACGTCTTTTTCTCGGTAGAATATTTATTGATATGAATATAATTAAATTGCACAATAGGAACAAGGAATTGAATGAAAATAAGAATTGCACAAATTTTAACTATAGAAATATATTTTGTTTACTAAAACATTGTACATGTAAACTTAAACTTAACACGAGAGACTCATCGTAACGTTACCGAGCGTTACACTTTTTCATAAGTGACTCCCAGCCGCAACCTAATTTAAGACGTTGTCACGTCAAAAAAATAAAATTAACAATAAC